ATGTTTCAATCTTTAATCGAGCTTAAGTTGTATTTTTAAGGGAAAATCTTAGATTTCAGTAAATTTACATTATTTGTAAGTGTTCCAGTCAAAGTSCATGTGATGAACGTTGCTTCACTGTTTTTATTCTGCAGCAAAATACRAGAACAGAAAGCACAACATGATAATTGGATTCAAGCACAAGYTACTGCAAGAGAAAAGTTTGATTAACATGATGAGCAGACACATCTTGTAAATGTGCCTGGTAAACACCACTAGAGGGCGCCCATGCGAGCCATAGCATAGTAAATGGAAGCCCTGGGTGCAGTGCAGCGGTCAACCAGCAGATGTCAGTGTAGAAAACTAAGTTTGTCTGTGAGAAGCTTCGAGTGTCATCAAGATGAGAAAGAACTTCGATACAGACCGTTCACCAGCTGCTTGCACGTGTTGCCATAGTTACTGTGAGAGCACGTGATGTCACACCTGCTGAAGTAGCAGCACGTGTAATATATATGTAATATATTCATCTAAAGTTGTGGAACTACTTGTCTCCTCACAGTGATCAGAGGCTGTAGATCCAGGAGCAGCTACAGGAGGTGGTGTCAGTGTAGTTAAGTGTGATGAGTGTCATTAGGTCCTGTGCTGTGACCTCCCTGGTGTGACACCTCCACAGTGTTGAACAGGCCTCAGGGAGCAGGAGCGGCTGCAGCCAGGCTCGATAATTACTGACCCAGTGGCTACTGTTTGTTTTCCTTCTGGGATGTTCCACCAAGCAACTCAAACCTCAATAAAACTTCCCTTTAGCTCTAATTACTTATTGACAACAAATACACCTGCATGGTTCTATGGCCAGACTTTCTATTTTTTTACACAATTATTGTCAGGCAAATAATAGATTCAGCAAAACCTACTGATATCATTTCTAATATCGTTCATATTTATTGGTTTCACTTATGTTTTTGCCAAATTATCTGTGTTGTAAGTATCTTTACTATCATGTTACTCATACTACTCATTCACATGATGAAAAACTTAATGACCATTGTTTAAAAGACAAATGAAAAATGAGAGATAAAAAACGTTTTTAAAGAATATGAACAGGAGTTTATCTTCCCTCCC